AAGGAACCAACAAACACAGAAAACAAACAATAAATCAGAAAGCAAGGAACAAAAGACACCTAAGACAACCAAACAATAATCAATAAAATGCTAGGAATAAATCAACACTTTTCAATAACAACTCTTAATGTAAAAGGCTTAAATTCCCCAATCAAAAGACACAGACTGCCTGACTGTATTAAAAAGGAGGACCCAACTATATGCTGCCTTCAAGAGACCCACCTCACCCACAAAGACTCACATAGACTAAGAGTGAAAGGATGGATAAAGATTTAGGGCCGAGCCCATGGCACATTTGGGAGAGTGCGGCGCTGGGAGCACAGTGGTGCTCCCAACGCGGGTTCAGATCCTATATAGGGATGACCGGTGCGTTCACAGCGCTCACTGGCTGAGCGCGGTGCGGCCAGTCTCAAAAAGGACAAAAAAAAAAAAAGATTTACCATGCAAACAGAAAAGAAAAATGAGCTGGAGTAGCTATTCTTATATCTGATAAAATAGACTTTATTTATTTATTTATTTAAAAGATGACCGGTAAGGGGATCTTAACCCTTGAATTGGTGTTGTCAGCACCACACTCAGCCAGTGAGCTAACCGGCCATCCCTATATAGGATATGAACCCATGGCCTTAGTGTTATCAGCACCGCACTCTCCCGAGTGAGCCACAGGCTGGCCCCTGATAAAATAGACTTTAAACTAAAAACCATAAAAAGAGACAATGAGGGACACTATGTAATGATAAAAGGATTGATCCATCAAGAAGACATAACAATCATAAATATAGACGCACCCAACGTTGGAGCTGCCAGATGGGACACTACGTAATGATAAAAGGATTGATCCATCAAGAAGACATAACAATCATAAATATAGATGCACCCAATATCACTCAGCATCCGGGAAATGCAAATCAAAACCACACTGAGATACCATCTCTCCACTCTCGATATTGGACAGATCAACCAGGCAAAGAATTAGCAGAGAAACACAAGAACTTAACAAAACTTTAGACCAATTGGACATGGCAGATATCTACAGAACATTCCATCCAACAACCTCAGAATATTCATTCTTCTCATCAGCACATGGATCATTCTCCAGGATAGATCACATATTAGGTCACAAACCAAGTTTCAACAAATTCAAAAAAATTGGAATTCTCCCATGTATTTTCTCAGACCACAATGGATTAAAACTAGAAATCAATAATAAACAAAACCCTGAAAAGTATACAAACACATGGAAATTAAACAGCATTCTACTTAACGATACATGGGTCCAAGAAGAAATCAAACAGGAAATAAAAAAATTTATTGAAACTAATGAAAATAATGATACATCATACCAAAACGTGTGGGATACAGCAAAGGCAGTACTAAGGGGGAAATTTATTGCATTAAACGCCTACCTCAGAAAAATGGAAGGCTGGCAAGTGAACAATCTAATAATGCACCTTAAAGAACTAGAAAAACAAGAACAATCCAAACCTAAAGTTAGCAGAAGGAAAGAAATCATCAAGATCAGAGCAGAACTTAACGAAATTGAAAACCAAAAAACAATACAAAAGATCAACAAATCAAAAAGTTGGTTTTTTGAAAAGATAAACAAAATCGACAAACCACTTGCATGGCTA